AGTATTTTACGATTCCAATCCTCTCTGTTGTGCGTGCATACATGCGTGCGTGTATGCGTGGATAGTTGTAAAATGTGGATGTGTATGCGCGCGCGCACACACATTAGCAGCAGAGAGGATTGGAGTCATTAAACAAACAGAAGTAACGAATTGTAGGACCCTTATCTCTACTGAGAGATAGACAGATAGACATACGCGCGCACGCACGCACGCACACACACACACCACACACACACACACGCACGCACGCACATCAATATCAAATGCCCTAATAAAAATTTTTCTCAGAATTTTTTATATAATTTTTTAGAATTTTTCTATAATTTTTTAAGTTTGTGACATTTTATACGAATTGGAACATTTCTCAAAAAATCTACATCTTTTCTCAGAATTTTTTATATATGTTAATTATGAAATATTTAAATGAAATATATAAAATTTTTAATATTTTTTATAAGTATAATTTTTGATAAAATGTTATAAAATCTAAAAAATTTAAAAATACTTTTTAAAAATTAGGGATGAGAAATTTCAGAATATTACAGAATTCACTTGTATGAAAAATTCTGAGCGAAGATAAATAAATTTTCTGAATATTTCTGAGTATTTCTGAAAAATGTTGCAATTCGTACAAAAATTATAAGAAAAATTTTCACCAGGGAATACTCTATCTAGACTTTAGCACCTAGTATAGCAAAAGAAAAATTGCGTAAACGTAAATACAATACATACAATACAATAACATACATACATATAATTATAGCCTATGTTTAGTTTACATTGAGATATACATGTATGTGTTATATAAAGTATCTCATTATATGTCCCGGATCGATTGATATTTCGAAAAGTATACTTTTGAGAAAAATGTTTCAGACAAATTTTGCAATATATAAAGTGTATTTAATGATGTTAACAGTTTAACCTTGAGTAGCATCGCCAATATCAAGTCACGTCGATTTTTTTAAGGAACATCCTTTTTATTTCAGAATTCTAATAGCTGGTGTCAAGAGTCTTACAAAACATTATAATAAATTTATTTTTCATTACGTTTTAAATTATAAGACTTGAAAGTTACAGTACTGCTGCCATTAACAAAATGTCTGACTGACGATTAAAATCTCTTTTGAATATTGTTCAGGATCATATCCTGGATAACATTTGTCATTATCAAAGCCAATAGAGATTATTCCTCTTATTTTTGCATTAAACATTTTTAAATAAAAAGTATAATCTCCAATGATTTCGATCTTGACAAATGATAATGCAGGAATCTATCCTTTAGAAAGTAGATAAATTATATCAGGTTATATCATCGATGAGATACTATTAAAGACTGTTAATCCTGAGCAAATTTTCGACGTATAAAAAGAATCCCAAGAGATAATTGAAGAACGCTGACATTATCGACAACTATAAAAATATATTATTATTAACATAAATATTTGACTCACACATTATTAAATTTATGATTTTTTAATGCATAAATGTTCCATAAATAAATATGCATAGTTATAAAGCTATAATATTCTATATATTGCAGAAAAATTATAATTTTTTTCCCTGCGATCGTCTCTGTTGAAAATCAAATTTTGATGACAATATTGAAATTACAATTTTAAAGAAAAATAGGATATTATTGAGTTATAAATGCATAATTACGTCTACTAAACTAATAAATCATAAAATTAGTACAATATTATCAGTTTTTCTCTTAATTACTTTAATATTCACTTTAATATTCAAGAACGAACTTCCATGAGTGCGTTCCAAAACTTGATTCAGTCAACTCCGAGTATCCTTTATTCAATATTTAATGACAAGGATAAAACAATATTCGATTTGACAGAATTTTGGAACGCAACCTATAAGGATGTCAGTCTTTAATAGTATTTTCGTAATAGTAATTCGTTAGTGGTTATATTTACCAATCCATATCCATCCATATGGATATCCATATTCTGAATTGACGGTACTGTGTTCTAAAATTCATTGCCAATGTTAAAGATTTATACAGCGGAGAGCACAGACTCTTGCATTACGCATAACACGTAATGCATAAGAAATTCAACCAATCAGAGTTCTTTATTTCATGGAAAGAAAGGAAACGAAGGAATGGAAAGGAACTTTGATTGGTACATTTTCTTATGCATTACGTGTTATTATGCAAAAGTCTGTGCTTCTCGCTATCTCTAAAATTCTATAGTATGCGTAACGTAAATTATAGCATGTTAATCCGCTAACATCATTGTAAGCGGATATTGAATACAGGCAGTATAGTATAGTATACGTAACGTAAACTGTAGATTGTCAGCGCTGGCAGTGAATTTGAAACACAGCCACACATGTGTAGACATGGCATACTGATTTATTGTTGTACCAATCAGCTACTGCAATAAATGAATACATCAGAATACATTACTGTATATACATTTTTGTTACAATTGACTCTAAACGTGAAGAATATTTTTGCAATATCAATAGCGATAATTAGCAATTATATTATATTTTATATTATTTTAACACTTAGCATTTAGAAATATGATAATTTTAATTTAATGTATAAATTAGAATTTTGCCTGTTAAATAACTGATGTAATATGTCATTATTTCATTTAGATACGGTGCTTTGCAGAAAAATTATATTCTTCGAGCGTTAGTGCTACAGTCGCACATGCTACTTTTAGACAATTGATGACGTCAGGATCTGTTACAGGTGATGATACATTTTCTATGTCTTCGATGCAATTACTGATGATTTTTTATTCATTTTTCACACAAACATTGCTGTCAAATATTAAATATTTTCTATCTATAATACACAGTGATATTTTTCTTTTTAGCATATCAATTTGAAATGTACATAAAAGAATCCTTTTAGATTTTAAATTATTAATTAATATTTATATCATTATTGAGATATTTAATGTTTATATCATCATTCTCTTTCTAAATTGTAAATAAATCTCTAATCCTGCAATTTTAGTATCTACAAACATTAAAGAAACATCCAGTACATGAATAAACATGGATGAGGTCATTACAAAAGAAGTATGTATTATTATGATTAAGATGTTTTTATTTTATTTATCAAATACTATTAATTTATCAGAATTTTTTAAGATTATATTTATTTTGTATATAAAAGGTTGGAGATAATGGCATAATAGTTTTAAATCGACCTAAAGAGTTGAATTCTATAAATTTGTCCATGATTCAAAAAATAGATTCTATCCTCAAACAATGGGAATCTTCAAAGAAGCTGGTAATAATAGAAGGTGAGAAAGTGTTTTGCGTGGGTGGTGATGTCAAA